TACGCTTTGAATAAGAGTATCAAATAACAAGATCCGTCTTAATACGACTAGTTCTTCCTATAAATTTGAAATTCCGATAATGCACAGTCGAAGTGTGGGACTCTGGGAATATTTAATTTGGAGTTAATTGGAATGCATATAAAATCATAAATTTTACGAACCTGATGTTTACGCCTTGTAAGAGGATGCAATTCAATCCATGAGCAACCATTGATCATCGGGCCAAGCACACGATATCGAGTAATTGCCTCTTGGGAAGCTTCTAAGCCTGAATTATGAGATAGAATAACCATCTCCGTTTTTCCATCATTAAGAAGCACCTGAAATTAAAATCATCCGATGATTCTTACAGTCACACCCAAATATTCACGAGGCTTTTTTATCGAATTAAAAAAAAAAAAAAAAAAAAAAGACCTTTGTGAGTGGGGCGCAAATTACGCCTTCTTTCTGGTTGGGCACGCCTATGACCAACGCCCAATACCTCTGATACATTGCATCGCAAGCATCACTCCATTCCTTGAAACAACCGAATAAGTAGGAAAAAAAATATAAGAGAAAGACATACAATTTACCTACAAAAGATGCGGCCTGAATAAATAAGTAGCAACTTTCTTATTGCATGTTCAGAGCTTCGACTAAAAAAATTGAAGTACCTTAGAGAAGGATGCAGCCTTCCTTACGTCACTGAACAACCAATGAAGATAGGAAATGCTTTCTTTCGTTCTCCCCATTAAGAGGAGACCACTACTCTCTCTGTCAAGACGATGCACCTAAACGAACCCAATAAGAATAATTGCAGAGGTGAAATATTTATGAAAATTAAAAAGAGCAAATAAACGGCAACTCAAAGATATTACCCACCAACTTTGGGCCTTCATCATAATCATACGATAATGCTGCAGCTGCTAAGGCATCCATGCTGTTGTGAACCGGCAGGTTCCCCTATTTTTACGTACGATGCATTAGCAACTCAAAAAGGCAAGAGAGCGGAAAAAACTAAAATATTCGATTTAAAATGTCGATAATGCTGACCTTTACTGGAAGTTTAGGAGGCTTATTTAACACTAGAATAGCCGAGTCCTGAAGATTGCAAACAATAGACAATAATTAATTACCAACACGATCAGCATCATACTTAATTGTGAGTTGATCACGTGGTTTCCTCTATAACACGGAATATATATATACATGCCTTGTACTTCACGAGTCTCTGTAAGTACATAATTTCGTCAGCATTTGGGTGCAACGTCCCACTCGGAATAACATCAAATCTCTTTGAGACTTTATTTTCAGCAACAGATACCGGAACGTAAACCCTGTCTCCCTCCTCCACGATTTCGCTAGGTTTGATCTGCACGTAACTGTTACAACTATAAAAACGGGTAATCTGAGTATGAAGTAAGTATTCAAATTCATAACAATAACTACAGAGTTTTATACAGCTCTCGAGTAAAAGCATTATTACCTTTCTTGTGGACATTGTTTGTCCTCTGTAGCTTTCAGACAGGCCACTTGAATTAAGACATTCCATCCGAACCTGTTAAACCAAAATAAGAGTAAGTAACTTCATCTTCTTCAAATTTAAAACAAAAACGTATATCAACCAACTGTAGCAATAAAATAAGACAAGAGTCAAGATAAGAAGATTAGGTTGCACAACAAAACAAAAGCCGCAAGCATTTCAAAGAATAACTAAAGTTATACTCGTTCTTGATTTTATTACATAAGCAGTCTCACTACCAGAATTAAATAATACAACAGAATGGGTTTCAGTTATTTAAACTTTCTAGAGGCCTTCCATGAAATCGAGTAATCAACTACGAAAAAAGTGAAACATATGAAAAAAAATCAAACACAGTAAATTAGTTAGAGAGAGAGAGAGGGAGAGACTGACAAGGCCTTTATTGAAATGATGCTGAATTACTGGAGGAATGACGTCATCAAAGTAATATTTGAGCCAGCTAATGGCAGTCACATGTTCGACAGAGGTTGAATTCCTTCCGGGCAAAGGGTTGCCGGGGAATGGCGGCAAAGATAGCAGCTGCCTAGGTTTTGGGCCCTCTTTTGGCGCCCCCAAATGAGCTATGTTATTTGATACTCGAAGCACTGCCTTGGCGGAAGCAGGCGGCGGTGGACGGATTTTTGACCTCCGGTTATGCCAAACCGTTGAGATGGTATTCCGATTGAGAAGCTTATTCCGCATAAAGTTTGATTTTGAGGGATTGGGGTTGATGATCTAAACCTGAATCCACAAATTATACAATAAATTTGAGCTGTGATTGTAAAATTAGATCAACTTTTAGCAGTCGGTAATTTAATCGAACACCTTACATGCATTACAGTTTACACAGTCATCGAGCAAGGGAGAAGCTTTTGCGCTTGTACTCTCGTCTTCCTTCCAACAATTTGTCGTACGAAATTGTGAGTATATCAACTAATGCATTAAAAGACATATACAGTAAGTACAAAAAAGAATCGATGTCTTTGGTGAAGACTGAAGATAGATACAAGGTTGAACAAAACCAACCAGTATATTATTAAAAGAGAGGAGTTTTGGCAATCATCTGTTTGTGTTAGAAGCCAACAGCCTTGAGTGCAGTCGCTGAGACAAAATCAGAGAATGAGACCACTGGAGAGAGAGAGAGATTGAAGTGTGAAAGAACGATGAAAAATGAGAGAGAGAGAGAGAGAGAGAGGGGGAGAGAGAGCGCTGGCTGTTACAATAATCTAATACTTTTTTTTCAATATTAATATAATACTTTCTTTATTAAAGAAATATGTTAAAAAGTTAATACTCCCTTTGTTCCTTATTAAGAGTTGTTTTTGGCTTTGCACAAGGATTAAGAAGCTCAATAAATATGTCCTGATTTTAGGTAAAATATAGGGCTAAATACAGTTTGCACCCTTAAAGTATAGCGGTGGTAACACTTACCCCCTTAAAGTTACAAATGTAACACTTACCCCCTTCATTAATTAATTTAAAGGTAAAACTTTGACTTTGAATAATGTGGCATTTTTTCTTCCCAAATTATCCTTCTAGCCATTATATAAATAATGAATATGTAATAATAAAAAATTCGGCAACTTTGCAAAAACTTAATTTTATTATTTCAATATTGTAAATTTCCGAATGAAAAAAATTGAATTTTAGTTTCATTTTTGTTTTACCTTGTGTTCATTTGTAGGTAATAAAAAGTTAACAATTATTCGAATTTTAATAATAATTTTATAATTTATATAGTTATATTAATGCGTATATGACTCTAATATAATCATCCGACTTTTTACTTTGAGAATCACAAAATGTATTCAAAAGTTAATAAGAAATTATAATTTAAACGTCTAAATATTTAAATATTTTTTTACTGAAATTTGTATTTAAGTAACTGAAATAAATTTTCAAATCAATAATTATTATAAAAAAAAATTGGACGTTTAAGTCTTGAAATTATTTTTTTGTTGTAAATGTTTAACGCATTTTAAATATTTTTTTTAAAATATTGAGATTTTTATTTATATTAGGGTCTATAGTAATTAAAATGTGGGCTTAAACATAAATTAAAATATTTTTTTAATAATTATTACATTTTATAAAATTTAGTTTTTGAAATATTATTGAAAATATATTATTATATATGCATTAATATAATAGCTAGAAGGACAATTTGGGAAGAAAAAATGCCACATCATTCAAAGTCAAAGTGTTATCATTAAATTCATTAATGAGGGGGGCAAGTGTTACATTTGTAACTTTAAGAGGGTAAGTGTTACCAACCCTATACTTTAAGGGTGCAAACTGTATTTAGCCCTAAAATATATTAGAAAGACTAAAATAACCTTGATTATTTAATAATGTGATAAGAGAGAGTTAATACTTATAGTTGAATTCATAAGGTTAAAACAGAAAAAAAATGCATTTAATGCGGTAGAGAAAATCTAAAGTGACAGATAATATGGAACAAAAATATTTTTAAAAATAGACAGTTATTGTGGAACAGAGGGAGTAATAGTGTTGATATATACGATAGGCAGTCAATATTTGCACAATCTCAAAATTTCTTAAGGCCAAGACCTTACTTAATGCAAGACCAAAATATAAATAAATTTACTAAGAACAAGATTGGTAATTACAAATATAACTCCAATATTTATTTCGATATTATTAATTCAAAGGGAATTGCTTTTTGCGGTTTGAAAATTGCTATTTGCGGTTTCTAACAAAACCCCCCAAAAAAACACTTTATTTCACTAAAACCCCAAAACTTTCCAAAAAAATCCAAAAACACCCCCCAAAACGCGTAAACGCCCAACTTGGGCGCCCATTCATGCAGTGCACGCCCAAGTTGGGCGTGCAAGCTGCATTTGGGCGCCCGAGTTGGGCGTCCAGTGCAAAAAAAAAAATTTTTTTTTTTTTTAAATGTTCGAACGCCCAAGGCGTGTACGAACGCCCGGAACGGGCGTCCGTACACGCCTTGGGGGCCCATTCTTGGGCGTTCGAACATTTTTTTGCGAAAAAAAAAAAAGCCCTACAAATTGATTTGTAGGGCTTTTTAACATGAAATTGGTTCCGTAATCGACCTACCCAATGCATGTTACACATAAAAGAGTCGAAATTACATCAAAAAATCGAAGCCCAACCCTTCTTCAAGCTTGATTTCGAATTTTTGATTTTTTTTTTTTTTTTGCTATTTGCAGTTTTGGGGGGTTTTTTGATATTTTTAAAAGTTTTGGGGGGTTTTGTTATAAACCGCGAATAGCAATTTTGTGACCGCAAATAGCATTTTCTTAATTGAAATTATGACTAATTGCTATTGCAAGACCAAAAAAAGGATAACAAGAAATATAAAACACGAGAGATTAACTCATTTCACCAACAAAACCCAACATCTTCTTCACACTCATTCTACACATTTCTCCACAAAAACTCTTTCATGTTTCCCAAAAACCCTCATCCAGGGCCGGTCCCAGGGTCTCGGAGGCCCGAGGCGAGAAACAATAACGAGGCCCCCTTAATTACCAACTTTATTTTGACTTATCAACTCACCACAGTTCCACAACTTCAGCTTCAACATATTTTTGCAAGATAATTTATTTAAAGGGTAAATTACAAACACCCCCTGAAGTATGGTCAATTTGCGAAAAAACCCCTCTTGTTTGGATAATTACATCTACCCCTCAACTATGATTTTTTCTTACACCCCCATCCTTATGCTACCAAATTCAACATAATCATCTATATTTCATGGAATGTGCACTAGCTTGTACTCGTTTTCTGTAAAAATACATTTATCGATGCATCACTATTTGATGTATATAAGCCAAAAAAACACATATTATGATCATCTTGCTTAAAAGTGTAGAGTTCTGATGGGATAAAAATGGTACAAAAGTGATAATATTCCATATAATCTCGAAGATTCCACTAAATTTGAGGAGTTGAGGGTAATTATCCAAACAAGAGGGGGGGTTTTGTAATTTGACCATACCTCAGGGGTGGTTGTAATTTACCCTTATTTAAATCTAGGAGATCCGTTTGGATTTTTCTTAATATCCCAACTCAAACTTTTCTATTGCTCATTGTGTCGATAGATACTCAACCTATGAAATTTCAAAATATACAATATAATTCAAAAAGAGCTAAATTATTTAACCCAAAATATTAACACAACCAGTATTAATTCTTAGCTTGCCAATCAACAAAGAAAAAAAGAAAAAAAAAAGAGGGAAATTAAAAAATAAAATTAGAAAGAAGAAAAGAGGGAAATTGAAAATAAAATTCAAAAAATAATATAATTCAAAAGACATACAGTGGCGTATGAGTATAACTTGGCCAAGTATGTCAAAGACAATTATTGGAAAATTTTTGTAGCTTAATAAATATATCGCATTTCAACAATTGGAGGTCGTCCTAAAATTTTTGATTTTTCGTAGGCCCAAGGCGACGGCCTTGCTCGCCTTGGGCTTGGGCTTGCCCTGCCCTCATCAAACAAAACCCTCATATCTTACTAAAACTTGCATAGGAGGACATTATAGACACACAAGACATCAATATGGATTATTCTAAGGTCGAAGAATACAATAGGGTAAGAAATATTGTACTTTTTTTAGCTTTGTAATCGTTTTTCTTGTTTTTCGGAAATAATTTCCCGTACACAAAAAATCGACGTTTGCAGGTCGATATTTAGCGATAAAAACGACATCGTAGAGTCGATTTTTCATAAAAAATTGACATTACAATGTGATATGCCTAATTGAGCCAGACCAATTAGCCTACTATTTCTCTACGTACTGGGCCACGAGCCCGATTTAGAAGAATACTATTACGAAAGCCCAATTACCTTCAAATAAAGTTTGACCAAACAAATTAACCACAACCCAATCGACAAGGTATAAATAACGGCATAATTCATTTATTAAAGGTACGCCCTATTATCTGAGTAATATTACAAGTCATATTCTCTCAACTATTTCTACAATTCGCACGTCTGACTTGAGCGTCGGAGGGGTTTCCGCCAGATCAACCCCCGGCTTAGTTCACGTGTTCTCTGTTCGCAGGCATCTCAGGGCCATCTAGCACGTGAGCACTGATCCACTTTGCTCTCCCAGCTCCTTCTATCTCAACTACTTAAGGTGATCTATTTCTAGCATCATCATAATGGCGCCGTCTGGGAAGGCATACAAGATCATGTAGCGAACATGATGTCCCTGAGTCATCTACTCGGAGAGAACGTGTCAATGCTAACAACCTTCCACCTCGTGGAGGCTCTTGCTTGCCACTTCCTCCTCATAATCAGGATCCACCTCATGAGGTTCAGATAAATCCCCCGCAGGATCCACCACTCCCCGCTCCTCGAACGGTTCAAATAACCGAAGAGGCCCTCCAACACATGATTGCGGAAGTTTCAGCTCGAGCTGCCACTGAAGCAGTGGCACAATACATCGCCACAATGGGAGTCAACACTCCCCCTGTATCTCCACCCGTGGCACAACGACCTCCATCGCCACCGGATAACACATCCACCTCGGACCCTAGGTCTCGAATGCAACAATCTACTCATCGCCATAATGCACGAACGGGGCAACAAGTCCCACGTTCACCTTCAAGAGGCAACGCCTCTCGCCAACAAGTACCTCCCCACAATGCTGGAGATGATGAAATTAACAGTCGGGTATCTCGCTCAAATCACCTCCCCCACATAGGTAATCCTATTGGTGGAAAGGCAATACCTTCAATAAGGCGCAGTCCCTTCACTGTCGCAATAATCAATGAGATACTACCCCAACGGGTAAAGGTCTCGAGTCTACCGCAGTTCGATAGAACTAGTGACCCACATGAGCACCTTGAAAAGTTCTACGACATGGCAGATCTATATGGCCCAACTGATGCGGCGATGTGCAAGATGTTTCGCACAATGCTCTCCGAACGAGCATTGAGTTGGTTCAACTCCTTGCACACTGGGTCAATTGAAGCTCTCTCTCCCAACTAACGGATTGCTTCACCCACCATTTTGCTATCAACAAAGAGTACGCTAAGACTCCGCGTACCTCTTCACTATCACCTAGAGAGAGGGCGAAACCCTCCGCAACTACATTCAACGATTTGTAGAGGCGGCTCATGAAGTTCCTAACGTGGGAGGAAG